CAGCACCTCCAGTCATTTTCGGATGATCCCAGATTGCACCGATTAAAGTCAAGTTGAATAACTTTGGTCAATGAACTCCTTTAAAGACTGTTCCATTCAGTCTCAGATTCACCAGATCATAAATCATTATGATTACCCTCAGTTGACTGTACCCCTATGCACTAAAATCGCTCAACAGGATGGATATTAATCAATAGTTCTGAGTATGCGCTTGTAAAAAGATTGTAGTCATGGGTCTTTTGCACTATTGGAAAAAAGCCTTACATCCAAGAGAGAACTTATTCTACATCCAACTCCTCTCTCAGAAAGCTGTCTACTCTCAGTGACAGACTCTTCCTCATGGTTGGAAGCCCTTCTACTAGTGGAAAACTGCAGTTTCTTCGTTCAAAGATATTTATCAAAACACTCAAGACTCAAGAGCTAAGAATAGCATAGTAAAATGCTCTCTTTGAGAAAACTCTGTAAAAACAAATCATGTGGTTACAGCATTAATATTATTACTTACTATACTTCTCTGTGGTAGTTTAAGATACAGAGACTTACCTTTCGAACAGTAACCAAAAATAGCAAGAGGAACACCCAGAAAATATGTTTTGAAGTTAATCTGAATTTATTTCACTCTGATTGAGTTTGAAGCAGGAAGATAGACGGAGAACAATATTAAAACAAAGTGAAAATCAATAGACGGCATTTCTACATAGCAGAAAGAAAGATTTGATTTCTCTATCTTATTCTAAATAGATTCTGTTCTAGACTGAGAGAGTACGACATTGTAAACACATGAAAACAGAATCATCATCCCTCTCAGTACATAAGCATCAACCTCTAGATATTTCTTAACTAAGACACAGAAGTGCTGCTAAAGCTAGTAGATATAACATTAAAATGGGGTCTCCAACAACATCTCATGTGAAAAATCTCAAACATATCCAAGTGAACAAGGTCACTACTGCAACGTTTACATTTTTAAGCTCAGAGAGAAAGAAAATATAACACTTTTCCAACTACTTCACTATTCTTAACTTTTTTCCAAACATAATAAGTAATGGTTTTCGCAACTACACATAATGTTTTTCTATTGTTCTTTACCTGAAGTTCAATGCTCAAGACATCATCACAGTTATGACGAAGAGCTTATTGGCTACAGATTTTCCGCGAATCTAGCATCATGGAGATAGATGCATTGACCTGCAGTCTCGAACTCTCCTTAAAGTCCTGGTGATGAATTTGACATTTAAGGTGCATTTTTATTTCACATGCACCGTAGGAGTAATGATTAATTACAAGTGACCAGTTATTCCACATCAGAGAATTTTGATATTACTGGGTGAAGTAAAATATCTCGTACATTACACCCATATCCAATGTTGCGTAATAAGCGTGTGTAATCGTAAGTCTTAGCACAATTTTCAATAAATAGGGAAGACTGTACATTGGAAAGATGCTAATAATCTTCTCCTTCCAATCAGTAAAGATGTTCTTATTTTAGTTTCAGTTGACACAGTTTACAAATAGCTTTCCTGCAATAGATAATTCGCCATCCATTAATGGTTTACTTATTGATGATGGTTTGGTTTGAATTTCGCGCAAAGCTAAACGAGGGCTATCTGCGCTAGCCTTCCCTAATTTAGCAGTGAAAGACTAGAGGGAAGGCAGCTAGTCATCAGTACCCACTGCCAACTCTTGGGCTACTCTTTTATCAACGAATAGTGGGATTGACCGTCACATTATAACGCCTCCACGGCTGAAATGGTGAGTATGTTTGGTTGGACGGGGATTCGAACCCGCGAACCTCAGATTGCGAGTCAAACGGCCTAACCACCTGGCCATGCCGGGGCCTTATTGGTGATGATGCAAATAGTTCCTTAACGTATTTACTCCTCATTGTACCTTTCTTTCTTAACAGTATGACCAACCAACCGTATTATTCACCTCAATAGACCATCATGTGAAAGTGCTGACGACAATATTTTAAGTGAAAAGTTTTCCTTATTATCTTCATTAAGAATAATATATACACTTATAACGCACACACACACATATATTTAGATCTTCACCAAAAATATTTACAACAATGAACTGAAAGTCTGATAAACATCTGACTTTTGTATTACTCATTCTCTTAAGCAGATGGGTTGACCGCGCCACAGTGATTAACACGTGTTTCGCATCCCGTTACCGCAAAGAAATACCTATATTAAAAAAATTCGCGCTTAGCATTCTGTGATCATAGGTGCGTTATAAAAGTGATAGTAAAACCATACAATTTGGTCTGACAAGAGTGGGCGGTTAGTGGTGTTGACAAGCTGCATTCCTTCTAGTCTAACATTTTAAAATGAGTGACGACTAGCGCATATAACTCTATTGTAGCTTTGCACTGAATCCAGAAAAAAAAAAAGCTTAAGCAGTTATAATCATACTATCTAGAGTTCATATTTTATTAATCACAAATATATTACGGACAGAAATCTTAGCTTTAATGCATTAAAAAAGCATCTAATTTTTTCTTTCTTTTCGAATTCGCTTACGTAATTTCAAAAATAAAAAAAAGGATAGAAATAAAGACAGCAAAATCATATACAGGGTTAAAGAATTATCCCGGAATCTACGAGTAAAGATAAGAGTTATTTTCAGGTATACACAAATAAAAGGCAAAAAATATAAAATCCTTAAAGCCCCACTGTTTTATTAATCATCATAGCAATAATTGTGATTACCGAATCAGGGAAATATTTGGAGAATTGCAATACTGCAAGGAGTCCCTCATTCGTAGAAGGGTGAAATCTATTTTTCCTGTCGCCACTGCATGTATGATTTAACTGGTATATATATATATATATATTCTACTGTATGAAAGCTTGCATTTTTAGAGATTTTATATTGTCTTCCCGGGATCCTGTCACCAATTTGTTTCAGAGCTACGTGCGTTGTTCTTAAAGATTGGCAAGTGTAGTGCACCAAACTAACCCCTAGATAGAGTGATTATAAAATAAAAAAAGTTTGAACAGTTACTTTGTTGGTAAATTAAGTGTTTTTCTTTTCTTTTTCATTTAAATACTTGATTCATTTCCGAACAAAATTGTAAAATAAATGTTAAACGCATGCATTCCCACGTTGCCTTGTTACTTACTTAGTAACATGGAAAATTTAATACACAGGATCCAAAAATTGGCAAGTGCTCACAGAGAAACTCAAAATTACATACCAATTTCTTTACAGCACAGCCCATAATGTAACAACACCAACAACAAAAATCCATTTCAAACCGTTGTTGTGCAGCACTGTTTGGGTCATCTTGATATTCATAATTAGAAAAACGCAATCTTCTGAAGCATTTAGTTATTATCAACGGTACATATTTTATCTCAAAACAACGACTATATTTATGCTGAATTGTTACTAGTAAATTGCTGGTACTTCACATAGGCCGAGCGTGGCCTAGCGGTTACCATGTTTAAACGTTGAATCAGAAGATTCGTGATTAGCTACCTGTAGCCACGAAAGTGCACTCCGCAGTCTGGAGCCGTCGTAGTGCTATAAGAATGATCCAATCGCACTATTCCATCACACAAAGATATTCCAAGAGTTGGCGGTCGGCGCTGTTGATTAGTTGCCTTCCCTCTGGTCTACCAGTTCAAATGTGAAACACTACGCACAAATATTCCTTAATGTATTTTTAAACGAAAATTTTGAAATGAAACCCTTGTTTCAGAGAGAATTCTTGTATTTCTCACAACCTTAAATGATTGACTGTACCTTTTATCCACCGATTCGTGTTACTGAACGGGAGTATAAAAACTAGTATAAAAATGCTTCATAACACATTTCATTGATAGTTATTACGCTAAATTATCTCACACATGTAGCCATATTTAAAGAAATCCGACAACCCAAGCACTTCACCCGATATGAAGATAAATTCGTCTATCTGTCGATAAAACTCGGGTCATCGCCTTTAATCGGGAATTATGTAATGTTATCTTACTGTAAATACACACACACACATAGATATTTCAAGTATCACAAAATCATACTAGCAATAACTTTACAAGCATATTTTAAATTATGTTATCAGAACATTACTGTCAAAAGTCCAATTCTAGAGAATTTTACAACCACCTCATTCTAAATTCTTCAACAGGTAAATTGTTCATAATTATATACATTGTCAATTCTACTTTCGATTTTTCAGTAACTACGATAGCTTTGATCTTCCTCTAAATGGCTTGTTAACTATCGTATTTTGGATTGAACATCAGTATCACGTCAACTCGATTATTTTTAGTAATAATACTTCTTGGAAAACAATATTACACTTTTAAACTCTGCTACGAAGGTTTATGGAAAATTATTATATCTTATGAGTTATACAATTTGTACATGGAATACAGTAAAATTAGCAACATTGTTATAAACATTACAATAGCGTTATATTATTGATTGTAAATCAAAAATCAGAACGCTATAACACACAAAAAAAAATACTTTTATAAAATCAAGTTAAGGTAAAAATGCGCTCGTGACAACTAGAAACACTTATTTTCTCAACTAATCAGAAACGTACCTAAAAATGAATAAAAATCTAGCCTTTGGTCAGTCTTAAATTTTCCAAAGAAAACAACAACATTCAAGCTAATAAACAAATAATATACATATAGTATAATTAATTAGAATATCACAAAGAATAACAAACAACAGGAAATAAATACAATAGCAATACACCTAAACAATTATCATAAGTAAGGCACTTTTTATACATAAGTACAAATACTATTTTGACCAAATTCTCAACAAACTTGAACAAAGGAATAAACAAAGTACATTGGCCAATCACTCGGGAGTAAAAACATAAAAAAACAAAACACCGCGTAATGCTCAGAATGGGAACAGCATAACTAGTCATGAAATTTAACTATTTCTTAGTTTAAAGGGGTAAAAAAAAGCATTTACTTACTTTTTCTTATTTTATAAAAGATAAAAAGTCTAAACATTATACAAACCTCTTCATGTTTAAAGAGATAGAACAGTCCCCACAAAATAGTCGCTCCGTTCTCTCTCTATTCAGTTCTGACAGTTGACAGTCACGTGGTTTAGATACGCTGAAGAATCACCACACACACTCACGCCGTTCCCTTTATAGCGAGCGTCTGAAATAACTGATAAGAATGCAGTTATAACATTATCTTACTCATATATAGAACATAAGTTTGCATAAAATTAAAGAACGTAGCCTACCCTACACAGTAATTTAAACAAGCGAATGATTAAATATTCCATGAGGTATCGCAAACTTAAGCCTAACAAACTGCGTGGGGCGGAATGGAATCGGGAAGAAGGCTTAACAGTGGAGTTACAGCCATCTTCTGGAAAGCCCTATTAATTATGCCCGGAGGAAGAGCAAGCGCATTTAATTCCCTGCACTGAAAGCATAACAAAATGACTCATTAACAACAGTCACAGATAACACCAATGTTGGAAACGGCCGTTGAAATATAATAATAACATAATTCTTAGAATCGAAATTTTCATCTAGTGCTGAATGAACGTTAGAATCATTTAATGGTTATGTGGGAAATTCTCAGAGACATATCTTAAGTTATATTGCATAATCACAAATGTATCATAAATTTACAAATATATTAAAGTACGAAAATAAAAAAATATGGTGTTTGTGTTCTTAAGTTCATATCGTGAGGTTACAAATTAATTCCAAAGAGAATTGTCATCTAACACGAAGTGCCGTATATATATATTATACAAGATGTTCTGATAATAATAATCAACTGAAAAATGTGCAAAGTATAAATCAGTTTAACAATCATAAAGAATAAAAACTGAAACGTTTTAACACTTTGTCACTCACTACATATCATACTGTACGTGTAGCGCAACACATGTAAGTTATATCAGAAATTTGGCTCTCAATTTATATCTATTATTGTAGTAGTATTAATAATTTTATTTTCATTTATATATTTTGTATTTCATGTTGTTCATATATGATGATGTTACATTAAGATTTTCTGTTCTTCAATTTCTAATAAAGTACAGCCTTGAGGACATGTAGGTTCTATCAAAGTTGCAGTAATTTGTTTTTTCTTTTATAACAATGGGGTATATATGTGTTTTGGCCACCTTCGGTATCGAAACACGGTTTTTAGAAGTAAAAGTCTTCAGAATTATCGCTGAGTCGAAGGGAAGGGACTTTGTAATATATATGATGAAATTTGAATTGGTGCCTCAGTTCTCAAATGGATTACATCGAGAACTACTCTCCAAATACCTCTTATTGAACAGCAAATAATGTTCTAGATCATTATCTTGCTGAAATAAAGAACCCAGGGCCACTGAATAATGTAAAGAGGCTGTGATACTGTTCCTCCTTCCTAGGCCCGGCATGGCCAGGTGGTTAGGGCGCTCGACTGGTAATCTGAGGGTCGCGGGTTCGAATCCTCGTCACACCAAATATGCTCGCCCTTTCAGCCGTGGGGGCATTATAATGTGACGGTCAATCCCACTATTCGTTGTTAAAAGAGTAGCCCAAGAGTTGGCGGTGGGTGGTGATGACTAGCTGCTTTCCCTCTAGTCTTACACTGTTAAATTAGTGACGGCTAGCGCAGATAGCCCTCA